ACTCTTGGTTTAGCATATACAATAGATGATAAAATCTCAATTCTTAATAGTATTGTTCTCAATTTATATAATGTTCATGTTCCTGTACACCAAATAAGAGTAAAGCGTCCTCCTGCAACCTGGATAAATAGGGGCGTAAGGGTGGCAATAGCGAGACGGAATAAAAATATTGGACTAGTTTTAAGGTTTTCAGAAACAGTACACCTGTTTGTTGTACCCACCATCAGATAGTGCAAAATGCTAAACGCCGCTACATTCACAATAATATCCTGAATATTTCGACCGTAGGCATGTGGAAATTCCTTGGATCGCTAGGTCTAACTAAGCCTCCGTTAGTAAAGTTAGGTCCTTCACTTAATTAAGATACATTAATCGTAATTTTTTTGTCATGGTTCCTGTTGACACTAGTATTAAATCCCAAACGATATATTCTATCGCTTCTATGGAATCACTCTCCCTTCCCTTTTTTTTAATTCTCTCCTGTAACCCAAGATGATATAGCTAAGGCGTTATCAGCTATTAACTCCAAAGCTATGGGTTGTGATGAGATTAGCAAGACTATTGTGAATATGTTTCTTGAGTTCCTTCTCCCAGCATAAACATAAATTTTAAATTACTCCTTGGACTTAGGTCAGTACCCAACTTTGTGGAAACAAGCTTATATTCAACCTCTTCGAAAAATTCCTAATCCTACACTACCCCCTCACTATCGACCAATTTCTATTCTCCCATTCCTGTCCAAAGTTCTTGAAGCCTGTCTTGAACTCTGCTTACATAAAAGAACATAATCTATTGAATGTTTTTCATACACAGTTGTGTTGAAAGCATTTGAAAAGTCGGCAATCGACACGAAATCCTCCTCTGCATTTTGACTCATATCAGATTTTCATCTTCAGCTTTGGAGTGGATCTTATCCTATCTTCGGGGCCACCAACTGTCCGTCGGCCTTGAGGAACAGTTATCTAGCTGGACTGACATCAAATCTGGTGTGTCGCAAGGCGGCATACTTTCTCTTATAATGTTTTCTTTATTGATTAATTCCATACCTTCTGTTATCGTATATGAGTCGTGTGCGCGCGCGCTTGGCGTACGGCTGTTTTTTTCGTAGATTCACCTAAGTCAAACACGTAATTGTGCATAAATATCTAAAAGATTGTGTTTTGCCAATATCGCATAAGAATTAATTATGGTGAAGTGTAAGAAATGCAATAAGGCTGTGTCGACGGCGAAAGATGAAACTTGTAAATGCAAAGGCTCGTGTGAAGCGGTCTTCCATAAAAAGTGCGTCACGAGAACTACCTTCAAAAATGAAAAATGTGAAGATTGTGTTTCCCTGCCCGGATCGCATCCTAGTTGGCCTAGTGTTGATGGACCGGATATTGCAGTGATCCTGGCTGATATGAACGGGAAAATGTAAGTGGTGTACAAAATGGGGAAGAAGCTGAGTGAGCTGGCCGATCTGGTTTATTTTGTATCAGAAAATTATGATAATCTGATGGAGTACCAGAAATCAACCGAAACAAAAATAAAATCCCTAGAAAACATGAATGCATACTTGGTGAAATGCAATAAAGCACTGGAATAACGTGTGAACGAGCTGGAAGAGAAAGATAAGGAAAAAAAGGTGGAGTTGGCTGGACTGGAAAAGAAAGAAAATGAAGAATGAAGATGTGGCGAATATAATAGTCCAAATTGCTAACAACCTCCAGATGAATGTTAGTCAGATTGAGCACGCAGAGAGGGTAGGTCGTGAAAAACCAAACGCCGACAAACCACTGCCAGTAGTTGTAATGCTGAGAACAAAAGAGGCTCGTGATTAGTGGATTGTAAGTCGCAAAAAACGCTTGAAAATGGTGAAATTTATGGTAAAAATAACGACACCCGTATATAAATGAGAATCTCACTAGGTATAAAAGGAACCTTCTATGGGTTACTAAAAACCAGCTTAAGAAAACATATAAGTACATTTGGGTACAAGATGAAAAAATACTCATAAGAAAAAGTGATGAACAGAAAAAAATAATGTCAACAAGGAGTGAACGAGATATTGAAAAATATATAGAAAGTAATTTAAATACGGCGACTGGCTAGATGTTGTTGTTGGTACCTGTATGCCTAACGCATACATAGTGCGAAGTAAACACTGCGAGCTAAACTAACATCAAATAAAAGGTGATCGTTTCGATGCAATTATCACATTAGAATGTCAATTTACTAGATTTAAAACAGTGAACTCTTGGGTGCAGAGTATATCTAGCAACAACAAATATTTACAGATATTACACTTAAATATTCGGTCGATAAGAAAAAACTTTAATGAATTGAAATTTTTTGTAAAAAAATGCTCTGAAGAGTTAGGAATACTAGTATTGACAGAGGTTAACATTAAGGAGATGGAGCTATCACTATATCTTATAGAGGGGTACAATCTATTTGCAAACACGAGGGAGACTACAAGAGGAGGGGGTGTGCTTATTTATGTCAAGGAATGTCTTATTTTTAATGCGCAAAAACCCTGACGAGTTCACTGGAAGGACTTCATGGTAAACTCACTGTTAACAACTCAACTCTAAATATAATTGCAGTCTACAGACCACCAAAAACGAATAGGTTTTTATTCGTTGATGAAATCTAAGCAGATAATCAAGAACATCCCAACGAGTGAGGAAATTATCATGTTAGGTGACGTCAACATTAACTTATTAGGAGTGAGTGAAAGCCAGCTGGTGCCAAAATATAAGGACTGCATGTGTGCACTAGGCCTACAGTGCGTAATACCGATTACGGAGGAGACGCGAGAGGTTATCGTCGCGGGTGTAAGAGAAATGTCGTGTATCAATCATGTCTGGGTGCGAACAAGACAGCTGCGAGACTGCCATTCGTTTGTTATTGAATGCTTTATGTCGGATCATCACGTGGTTGGAGTCTCGGTACCGTTACATGTGACGCAACACTATACTGACAGTGTGGACTCGGACACTCGGTATGTGATTAATAATAAGCTAGTACCTAAGCAGATCACTGATTACGATTGGTCTCAACTGTTGCTTATTGATTGTCCGTTAAATTTGTATTGTAATTTAGAAAATGTTTTCAATGATATTTATAAAAATAGTAAGACTGTAATGCCAAAGATTAAAAAACGGGTTACACAACCGTGGATAGACAGAGATTTGAATAAAATGATTTGATAATGCGTAGGGATAGGTTATTTATGGATTGGAAAGAAACACCAAACAATAATACAAAAAGACTAGAATACACACGATGTAGAAATAAGGTTAATAAATTAATATTTAAAGCGAAAAATAGGTATCGGCAGGAAGAAATCAAGAAGTGTAATGGAGACCCAAAAAAAATCTGGGACAAAATTAATACCTGGGCTGGTAGAAAAAAAGCAAAAATAGATGATATTGTTAAAAGATACTTTGGAAATAAAGACACGATGTATAATATATGTAGTCAAATTGCAGATACATTTACTAACGAAATTATTGCTCTTAAACATAATTGTAATATTAAACTATTAGACAGAAGTAAATATGTTAGAGAATGTGATGTAACATTTCGCTTTAAGCCAGCTACTGACGCAGTGTGCAAAGTCATCGATCAGTTCAGCTGTGATAAAGCGTCAGGCAGTGACTGCATTCGAGTCATAGACATAAAAATAATCAAGAATGAGATCTCACCGGTCTTATCGCACTTTGTCAACCTGTGTTTGTCGAAAGGGGAATATCCTAACCCACTCAAAAAAGCTTTAATTAGGCCCATCTACAAGCAGGGAGCGCACTCAGTGTATGCTAACTATAGACCGATTGCTATCTTATCGGTCATTAATAAAATAGTTGAGAAGATGATATTCGGCCAGGTTAGCGAATTTTTAGAGCAAAATAGTATATTAGCGGATGCACAACATGGTTTTAGGCATGGTCGTAGCACCGTAACAGCACTATCACAGTTTTCAGAAGATATGAACAGTAGTCTCGACCAGGGGCATCAGGTCCTGGCGCTGTTCATAGACTATAAAAAAGCCTTCGAAACCTTGGATCATGAGGTGTTATTGCAGGCCATGGATGATTGTGGAATCATGGGCCCCACAAACAGGTGGTTCCGGAGTTATCTGAGTGTCAGTGAGTGTTGCTGGTAAAGAAGTGGTAGTACAGCTTGGTATTCCGACTGGTTCAGTCTATGGTCCGGTTGGCTTCGTTATGCATGTCAATAGCGTCATTAATGTGGTGAATAAATGTCGGGTGTATATGTACGCGGACGACATATGCCTTATGTACTCCTCTAAGAATATACAAGAGATCAGGGCTGTCCTACAGGCTGACTTCGATAATATTATCCGGTGGGCTCACGATAATGGTAACATACTCAACCTTAATAAGACGAAAGTGATGCATCTGTATTCACCGCACAACTTAGTGGCAAAAAATGTCAAGAGCGTGGATATAGGTATCGTGGGTCACACGTATGAGTGTATGCACGTCAAAAATGTAAATTGTGTTTGTCAAAAGCTAGAATATGTCAGCAAATTTAAGTATCTGGGTCTGTGGGTGGACCGCAACATGAATTGGAAAACACAGCTTAACACAGTGTGTACAAAGCTTAGGGCAGTGTTGAGTAAGTTTTATATCCTGAAGGCGCCATTGAGTAGAAAAACGCTGCGTGTCCTTTATTTTGCTCTCGCTGAGTCCTTGCTAACATATGGATTGAATACGTATGGCCGTACATTTAAAACCTATCTTAACAGTATAAAATCGCTGCAAATTCGTTTTATGAAATACCTTGTTAGCCCACAAACAAAACTTGCCTGTAAAGAAAATTATGAAAAACAGTTGTCTGTAAGGTGCTTCCTGTACATGAAAAGGTCAAGTACCTGTTGGTTCTAGAACAGTTCTATAACAACCAGTTTAAAGTACAAGTGCAAAATAGGTACAATACTAGAAGCGTTAGAGAGCGTAAACTCGCGCGACCATCAGTAAAATATTACATTTTTTTTATAGAAGAGGGGGCAAACGAGCATGCGGCTCACGTGATGGTAAGTGACTACCGCCACCCATGAACAACTGCAATATCAGGGGAGTTGCAGATGCGTTGCCGGCCTTTAAGAAAGGTGTAAGTTCTTTTCTTGAAGGTTCCTAAGTCATATCGGTCCGGAAAATTCGCTGGTGGTAATTGATTCCACAAGGAAGTTGTGCGAGGGAGAAAACTTCTTCTAAATCGCACAGTGGTGGACCGCCAATCATCAAGATGGTATGGATGGTAACGCGAGTTTTGTCGCGATGTGCGATGGTGAAATTGAGCGGCTGGAATTAGTCCGAACAATTCCTCAGAGCACTCCCCGTGATAGATGTGATAAAATACCCAAAGAGATACAACATCTCTACGCAGTGCCAGTGTATCGAGCCGATCAGAAAGAACTCGGTCGTCGACGATTCGAATCGCTCTACGCTGGATGTGGTCAAGTGGAAGGAGCTGGCACTGGGGTGCCCCGACCCAAAGATGAGAACAGTATTCCATGTGGGGCCGAACTTGCGCTTTGTAAAGTTGCAAGCGATGTGCCGGCATGAAATACTGTCTCGCTCTGCTGATCACGCCAAGCTTTTTAGAGGCCAATTTGGCCCTCTCTTCCAAGTGACCACGAAACTGCACGTCACTCGATATGTCAACTCCGAGGATACCGATACTGGCAGAGGCAAGAAGGGGAGTGCCTTGAAACTGAGGAGATACGACAAAGGGGTTCTTTTTAGCGGTAAACGCGCAAACTTGTGTCTTCTGGGGATTGAACTGGACTAGATTTAGTCGGCCCCAATCCGAGACTTTGTTAAGTAAAGACTCGACTTCAGACACAAGTTTGTCCCGGTACTCAGCGACGTTTTCGCGAGAAATATTGGCACGGCCGGTATATAAGGCATCACCAGTGCTGTCGTCTGCATAGCAATGAATGCTACTAGTTAGCAACATATCATTGATATGCAGGAGAAACAGCGTTGGTGATAGCACGCAGCCTTGTGGAACACCAACGTTGATAGGCTTGAAATCAGAGCATGCACCGTCTACTACGACCTTGATGCTCCGATCAGCAAGGAAACTGGTGATCCATTTGCACAATTTCTCGGGAAGCCCATAGGAAGGAAGCTTCGAAAGAAGCGCTTTATGCCAGATCCGATCGAAGGCCTTCGCTATGTCCAAACTAACGGCCAATGCCTCCCACTTGGACTCTACTGCCTCCGCCCATCTATGAGTCAGATAGACTAGAAGATCACCAGCTGATCGACCTCGACGAAAACCGTACTGGCGGTCATTAATCAGCTGGTGATCCTCAAGGTACCTCATGAGCTGGCTGTTTATAATGGATTCCATTATTTTGGAGAACAAGGAGGTGATGGCAATAGGCCTGTAGTTGGACGGGTCTGAGCGGTCGCCTTTTTTAGGGATCGGGTGAACCAAACCTGTCTTCCATGAATACTGGACTACGCCTTGGGAGTAGGAGTATCGGAAAAGACGCGTTAAAACCGGTGCCAACTCCGGAGCACACGTCTTCAGCACAATGGGAGGGACTCCATCGCGCCCACTCGACTTGCTGACGTCCAGGGAGAAGAGTGATTTACGAACCGAGCGCTGTGTAACCCGCACATCCGGCATGGATCACTCACATCGCGGGATGGTCGGCGGTGTGTTCCCCCCGTCATCTAGAGTCGAGTTGGACGCAAAAAGAGAGCTCGACAGATCGGTTTTCTTCTTTGCGGCATAGGCCAGTGAGTCGTCCTCCCTGTGCAGAGATGGAAGAGATGGCTGACAGAAGTTCCCTTGGACAGCCTTGGCGAGAGACCAGAATGCACAGGTTCCCGAAGGAAGGCGAACTAGTTTCTCGCCAATTCTGCCGATGTGCTCAGACCTTGCCTTGGCAATGACGCTTTTGAAGGACCTGGAGGTGGAATTATACTTCTTTTTAAGTGCGCTAGTGTTTAAATCCTGAGACGTTGATGCGTCAGCCCAGGCCCAGTAGCACTCCTGCTTATAGCGTGATGCTATTTTACAGGAGCGATCAAACCATGGCTGGGATCTGCCTCCGATGGGCACCACAGAGGATGGAATAAAAAGTTCCATACCCTGAAGTACCACATCAGCAACAGAATCGGCAACAACGCTGGGATCTTCCGGCGAGAAGCAAACCCGCCCCCAAGGGATACGATGCAAAAAAAGACTGCATCCCGTCCCAATCAGCTGACCTTTAGTGCCAAACACGGCGACAAGCTGCAGATCGCGAGCGTGAGTGGCACCGTGCTACGGATCAGACAATGGACCGAAGAGCCCAGAGGGGCATCGACGGAGACCTGATATCCGTCCGGATGAGAGGTCAGCAGAAGGTCCAACAGGGAAGGTACATGGTCTTCTACATCTGGGATCCACGTAGGCGAAGTAACCAGTTGTGTTAGACCATATGCCAAAGCAAAGTCATAGACAGATCTACCCGCATGATCGGTTAAACGAGAACCAAGCCATTCAGCGTGGTGGGCGTTATGGGACCTGTTATAGCACGGAGTCTGCAGCCATTTGGACGTGGTCGATGAGTCGGTCTGTGTCGGCATTACCGCTATAAGACCTATGGAGGCACCCGTAGACGCGGGGATGGTCGTCGCTGTCTACGTGCAGCCATAGGATGGACAGGTCCGTACTTTCAAGTCTGCCGAGGCGTCGAAAAAAGATGTCCTCTCTGACGTATACGCAAACTCCAGCCCGGAGCACAAAGGTGTGTTCCAATTTGTACCCCGGGTAGGAGAGATATGAAGTATCAGCCAGAGAGGACACCTGAGTCTCGGTTAAAAAGAGCAAGGCCGGCTTCGCCGTGTCTAGATGGTAATGGAAGTCCCCTGATGTTGCAAAAATTCACGGATAGCGTGACAGGGGTCGCCTTGGTTGTATTGCTCCGCTTGCCCCGAGCAGCATTAGTCGCGAGCGGAATTTTGCCCCCCCCCCCCCCAGAATACGCGGGGCAGCCTGAGCACCCACGCTCAGGAGTGAAGTAGTTTGGTCGTGGATGCTCAGCGAGGGATTCTCCTGGGGTGCTGGTAACCTCCTGGGGTAGTCTTTTATTTAATTCCACTACCATATTGATGGAGGGGGGGGGGGGAATAGGGCTTCCAGCCACCTACACTCACCAAGCGCAACGCAGAGGAAAAACCTCTACTTCGATTGGCTAAGAGAAGATAATACTAGAATAAGTAAATGAACACTAAAAAATAAATTAAAAACTGTTTTCCTTAATGAAATTATCGCAAGATGTGAAAATATTAACTAATTTGTTGTTGTTTTAATATAACTTTTGACAATCACGTATATTAGACCTTATTATTTAGCTTTATTTTCATTAAATTGTATACTTACGTATTTGAACCAAATGTATAAAGGCAAGCGCTAATCCCGTCGACAAAATGTTATGCAGTTTGGTGGGTGTGAAAAATGTACTAAAGGTTTGGTCCAGAATAAATGATTTATTATTATTATTTTTATCAAATGTGTGTATCATCTGTATGCAAATGATTTTCAACTATATGTACAATCTAGTATCGATGACGTCAATAACGTCATAAGACTGCTGAACGATGATCTTGATGTTATCCGAGTGTGGTCGTACAGGCATGGTACATCGGTAAATCCGTTGAAATACAAAACAATTATTGTAGGTAGTTCAAGAATGCTGGCTAAGATTAACTATAAAAACTTTGAACCTGTGGTTTACTATAGGTTACTGATCCCTTTTAATAAAACAGTAGTTAATCTCGGCTTGCATAAAGATCAAACAATGAACTTGAGATCGTAAATTTCTGAAAAAAGCCGTAAATTTATTGCTATCTTGCATTCCCTGTATCGTCTGAAAAATTTCTTGCCCTTCAAAACTCAGCTTATTATTGTGAATTACCTCATTCTCCCCGTTATTGATTATGCTGATGTGTGCTACCCGTATCCATCGCAAAATTTTCTCAAAAAGTTGGGGCGCCTTCTCAATAGTTGTATAAGATTTGTTTTTAATTTACGTAAATACGACTATAGCTCTACCTACCGCTCTAAGCTTAAATGACTCACTATACGTGAAAGGCGTTGCTCCAGAAATTTATTGACACTTTTTTTCATCTTAAATGATGGTAATTCTCCGCCATATCTTAAAGAAAACTTCAACTTTCTCTACTCTATTTCCGGCCGTGAACCTCGTCCTCGTAACGTAATTAAACTTAGTATTCCAGAACATAGAACTAATTTTTTTAATTCTTCCTTCACAGTTCAGGCTATTCTCCTCTAGAACGCCTTACCCGCTGATGTTTAAAAGATATATATGTAAATATATATCTATATATATACATACATTACATTATTTATAAGTTATGTTTTATTATTGTCCTTAATTTGCACCTGCCAACAACTTTTATTCTATTATTCGTTCGTTGGGTTGACTGGTAGAGAATGCTATAGGATATTAAGTCAGCCATTTGTAACCCCTAGTTGGTGTGTTGCAATAAAGGATAATTAAAGAAATAAATAAGGAAGTATCAAAGTCATATCCAAAATAATTAATAAAATCAGGCGTTTCTTTGCGACTGAAAGAAGATGTAGTGACAAAAATTGAGAAAGGTATGCTGAGATGGTTTGGCCATTTCGAGAGAATGAATGAAGAACGATTGACGACAAAGGTGTATAAGGCGAGTGTGAACGAAAATGTTGGAAGGGGTAGACCTAGGCGGACGTTTCTAGATCAAATCAGGGACGTTTTGAAAAAAGTCCAGGTCAAGAGTACCCTAAACCGAAGAGCATGTATGAAGAGAATAATGAAAGTGGACGAAGCAAAATAAGTATGTAAGGATCGTAGAAAGTGGAAAGAAGTGGTCTCTGCCTACCCCTACGGGAAAGAGGCGTGACTATATGTATCTATGTTACTTTGCGGATATCGATTAAATTAAAGTTGCTAAAAATTAATTTGCTAAGATCCGCGTAGTAACATTTTACTACAAAAATCTAAGCAAATTAATTTCTAACAACTTTCATATTCAAAATATTTTAATTCAAAATTCACCTTTACAAATTACTTTCTTAAAGTTAAGAAAGCCTTTAAAAATATACAAGCACAAGTTAAAAATGTAAGTGTTCTGAGGAAGCTCATTACGTCCACGCACTCGTAGCTTTTCTGCCGACTTCCGAAAAGGCGACGGTACTCAATTCGACTGTATGTTTTTTTTCTTTTATGTGTGTTACCTCATAACTCTTTACTGGGTGAACTGATTTCGAAGATTTTTTTTTTTATTTGAAAGCTGATAATTCTCATGTGGTCCCATATGAACTTGATCAAGGTCAGACCAATAATTTTTGAGTTATTCTTAATAACTTATATTGAAGTCGGCGGTACAAAATTTTTAATTTTTAATTATAAATAATCATGTACGTGGTAGAGCCATGGTGCAGCTATATTAGTAGTATAGTTGTAGCACGAATGGGTCGGCTCGACCAGGTAAGGACCACGCTCTCACAGAATACCAGCGAAAATAGCAGCTTAAAACTGTGTTTCGTATGGTGAGTGTCGAGAACCGGAGACCCTTTTTACTCGAAAAGAAGCATTCCATCTTAGTCCTCACGGGTGACAAGGCATCTGTATTTTGATTCGCAAACAAGGATATATTTAGATGTCTATGGGTTACAGCAACCACTTACCATCAGGTGTACTGTGTGCTCGTTTGTCACCTTATCCTATAAAAAAGTCATACAATTATTTTATGTAAACTTTCTACCAAATGCCCCCTAATGCTGACGTGATAGTGATTCCACAAGTACACTTCTGAATATATGTAGGTCTCTCTCAAGGAATGCCACAAAGCGCGGCGAGCATCTTGCATCCATCGACATCCTGTATATCTTACCAGGTCGGCACTCGATCTAGTGCGGGGCCGTCCAACATTTCACTTACCGGCACGAAGTTGCCACTCGAAAATCTATCCATCCTATCGGTTGTCGGTTCTTCAAGCTATATGGTTGGCCCGTATCTACTTCAGCTTACAAATCTATTCGGCTTTGTCTATGTTGGACATGTATGTATGTAATCCATTGGGGTACATATATCGATGGTATAGAAGACAAACTTATTAATTCCAGAGATTGTAATTTATCAGGAGAGCAGTTAGTTAGTAAATTTTAAAGTTTGACCTGTTAGTATGTAAAGCTGAGCAGTGTAACGTATCTTATACTTCTGCTATTAGGATATTTATCTGTTATACAATTAAATTTAAAGAATTGTTCTCAACTATAAAAAATACTGGGAAATACCCAGTAATATGAAAAACAACATTGACTTAATAGTTTTAATCATTATTTAGTTATTCAGTAGTTCACTTAGTGCATTTATGTATAGCACAATATGATTTTCAATTATTATGTAACTAATGGAAATTAAAATAAAATTTATTAAATAAATATATGTATTTCTAGGTGGCTTAAAGCTACTTAATATATTTTGTCATTTCTATCATGAGTGGATAAGTGACTTTGATTCTTTTGTCTCGTGCCTCACGTTTCTTATTACAAATGTACAGGTTCGGTTTAGACCGAAAGAGATGGAATTATGGCTTTCCGATAAGTACAGAAGATGCGGCCTATTCGTT